AAAAATAAAGTAATGTCTCAGGATATAAAATCAAGGCCACAAGTCAGTTGCCTTTGTGTATGCCAATAACAGTAAGATGAGAGGCTAATTAAGGACACGACTCCCTTCACTATAGCTTCAAAGAAAATGAAATACCTAAGAAAATACCTAACAAAGGAGGTGAAGGACCTCTATAAAGAAAATTATGAAACCCTAAGAAAGGAAATAGCAGAGGATATTAACAAATGGAAGAACATACCTTGCTCATGGCTGGGAAGAATCAATATTGTTAAAATGTCTATACTTCCCAAAGCAATCTACCTATTCAATGCCATCCCTATTAAAATACCAACATCATACTTTTAAGATTTGGAAAAAATGATTCTGCATTTTGTATGGAACCAGAAAAAAACCCGTATAGCTAAGGCAGTTCTTAGTAATAAAAACAAAGCTGGGGATATCACCATACCAGATTTTAGGCTGTACTACAAAGCCATAGTGGTCAAGACAGCATGGTACTGGCACAAAAATAGAGAAATAGACATTTGGAATCAAATAGAAAACCAGGAATTAAAACATCTTACAACCACCTAATCTTCAATAAACCAAACAAGAACATACCTTGGAGGAAAGACTCCCTATTCAATAAATGGTCCTGGGAGAAGTGGATATCCACATATAAAGACTGAAACTGGACCCACATCTTTCTCTACTCACAAAAATTGATTCAAGATGGGTAAAGGACTTAAATTTTTAACAATAAAAATCCTCAAGGAAAGTATAGGAAACACACTGGACGATATTGGCCTGGGGAAAGACTTCAAGAAGAAGACTGCCATGGCAATTGCAACAACAAAAATAAACAAATGGGACTTAATTAAACTGAAAAGCTTCTGTATAGCTAAGGAGACAACAACCAAAGCAAATAGACAACCTACACAATGGAAAAGGATATTTGCATATTTTGAATCAGACAAAAGCTTGATAACTAGAATCTATAGAGAACTCAAATTAATCCACATGAAAAAAGTCAACAATCCCATATATCAATGGGCAAGAAACATAAATAGAACCTTCTCTAAAGAAGACAAATGACTAACAAACATATGAAAAAATGTGCATCATCCCTAATTATTAGAGAAATGCAAATCACAACCACCCTGAGATATCATCTAACCCCAGTGAGAATGGCCCACATCACAAAAGCTCAAAACTGCAGATGCTGGCATGGATGTGGAGAGAAGGGAACATTTTTACACTGCTGGTGGGACTGCAAACTAATACAACCTTTTTGGAAGGAATATGGAGAACCCTCAAAGAACTCAAGCTAGACCTCCCATTTAATCCTGCAATCCCATTATTGGGCATCTACCCAGAAGGAAAAAAATCCTTTAATCATAAGGACACTTGCACTAGACTGTTTATTGCAGCTCAATTTACAATTGCCAAAATGCGGAAATAGCCTAAATGCCCACCAACCCAGGAATGGATCAACAAGCTGTAGTATGTGTATACCATCGAATACTATTCAGCCATTAAAAAAATGGAGACTTTACAGCCTTTGTATTAACCTGGATGGAAGTGGAACACATTATTCTTAGTAAAGCATCACAAGAATGGAGAAGCATGAATACTATGTCCTCAATTTTGATATGAGGACAATTAATGAGAATTAATGACATGGTGGGGGAAGGGGAGAGCAGAGAGAGAAGAAAGAGGGAGCAGTGGGGAAAGGAAGAGCAGAGAGAGGGAAGCGAGGGGGGTGAGGTCTTGGTGTGTGCCACACCTTTTGGGGGCAAGACATGATTGAGTGACCTTTGATAGGTCATTTAACATCTGTAAATCTTGATCTTCATAGCATCTAGATCCAAAGGTTGTGATGATGAAATTAGCTAATCAATATAAAGTGCTTAGGGCATTGTTTGGCACAAAGCAAAAACACTTGCTTGAGGTACTATTATTCCTTTCAGGCTTCCTCTCACCATGAATATATCCTTTCCCTCCAAATTGGATCACATTGTACATGTTATTTTATAGCAAGTCTTTTGCCCACTGATGATAGAATGAAGTTCTCCAAGTTATTCTCTGTTCTTTTAGGTCCTTTGGAAAGGCTGTGTAGTATTCCAATATATGAATCCACCACAATTAAATTGTTTGATGAATCGTGTCAAATTATTTTACTCTTATAAATACTATATAGCTAAATCATTTCATACTTTTTAAATAGTTTTCTTTAATGTCATCCCACTTGCTCTTCCATTCTAATTAGCTCTCAGCTGTCACATTTCTGATCTGTGATCAGATAATCAAGTTAAAGGAGTTTATTTGCAATAAAACTTTATCTGCACTTCTGTCACTTGCTCTAGCTGTCTGGTGAAAGGGACAGCAATCATTTGCAGCAACTGTGAAGGAGGCTGTTTGTTCTTACTTTAGGGTTTGCCTTTTAGTTATACAGCTCTTGTAGAATTGGTTCTTGCCTCTTTGGGTTAAGTCCAGGAGATGGTGGCAACACTCTTGTGGTGGTTGCGTTTTCCCTTCACTCTCTGAGGATCTAAAAACTCTGCCTTTATGTTTAACCACCACACAGGTACTCATTTCTGATTTTTTTTTTTGAAGCCCTGCTACTGCCTCTTAGCTTAGGTCTAGGAGTTATTGGTCTTCTTGACTCCTGACACCAGTATGCATACGTACTAGATTCTATTTTCTAGGCTTCTTTGCTGTGGTCTTTCAGTTTTAAATAACCCATAGCACTTATTTGTGCTTTTTGACAACTTTGGATGCTATTAATTCACCGTCTATGCGTATGCCAATGAGCATGGAAAACAGACTTTAACAATTAAACTCCCAAATCATACATTACTAAGGAGCCTAAATACAGCTGGATAGGCTCTTGTATCCCATACCTGTCTGAAGGATCACAAGGAATACATGTTAATATATCCCCAAGCCCATCACAACAGATAGGCTGTGAAATTTGGATTTACTACCTGGATATGGTTATGCTTAACAAGCATCCTGGGTGATTCTTATAATCAGACACATTTGAGATCGTGGCTCTCAAACCTACAACCAATGAGAACTTTGAGGACACTCTGAAGTTTGACTGGGATCTAAGGGAGTCTCTAATCTATAGGTAGCATAGGGTTCATCCCATGGGTGCAGGAAAACTCTAGTAGGATTCAATAGCTGAAATACAGCATGTCCCAAAAGTTGCCCTTAAAGTCACCATATATAGGGAAAACGGGAAACTGTAGCTAACTGTACCCTTGACAAAATATCCATTACAGGGGCTGGGCCTGGTGGCTCATGCCTATAATCCTAGCATTCTGGAGGCCAAGGCAGGTGGATTGCCTGAGCTCACAGGTTCCAGACCAGCCTAAGCCAGAGTGAGATCTCATCTCTAAAAATAGCCAGGCATTGTGTTGGGCACCTGTAGTCCCAGCTACTTTGGAGACTGAGACAAGAGAATCGCTTGAGCTCACGAGTTTGAGAAGGCTGTCTGTTACAACGTCAGGGAACTTTCCCAAAAAATATCCATAACAAATTTTACTAAGAGGTGGCCAGCATATACAGAATATTTTATAAAATTTTATAATGACTATTTTGTAAGTAAGGTATGTTTAGCTACAATTTTCCATTTTCCCTACGTTTGGGTACTTTAGGGATAGTACCCAAACTTGTACTGTTGTCTTGTATTGTTGTCTTTAGAGCTTGGGACCAAAGAAGGAACTTATGGAGATTTATTTATCATCTCTACACAAAGGATGGTTTCATACTCCTTAGGATGGATTCTGTCCCAAATGTTGGGGTTCCAAAACTGTTAGCTGGCATCACATGATTCTTCAAAGAGCCTAATAGAGAACTTGGATTCTTTCAGGACTGAATCCTTCATATGTATGTTGAAATCATTTGGTGTGCTTATCTTTTATTACATTAGGTTTTATTCACTTAAAATCAGCTCAATAACAGATCCATGTTAGGTAACAGCTGGGGCAGTGCTTTCTGTGAGGCTTGAGAAAGCACAGAACTCTGACATAGTCTACCTAAGAAGGTCTTTAGTTTCTTGGGTCGTCCATACACAAAGGATACATCTTACTCCCAGTCTGAGCACAAGAGAGATCCAAACATGCCTGAGAATTCCAAAAGACTTAGAAACAGAAGCTGGTGAATCCTAGCTCCATTCATTCACTATTAATTCACATGAGATCACAGTTCCTTTTTTTTTGAGACAGAGTCTCACTATGGCGTCCTGGGTAGAGTGCAGTGGTGTCACAGCTCACAGCAACCTCCAACTCTTGGGCTTAAGTGATTCTCTTGCCTTAGCCTCCCAAGTAACTGGGACTACCACCACAACACCCAGCTATTTTTTTGTAGGAGTTGTCATTGTTGTTTAGCAGGCCTGGGCTGGGTTCAAACCTGCCAGCACCGGTTTAAGTGTTCGGTGCCATAACCACGGAGCTACTGGCTTTGAGCCGAGATCACAATTCCTATTCCTCTTACAGTTCATCCAATTGATAGAATAATGTGAGGAATAAACAGAATTATATAAAAATTAGGACAAGATAAAAATTAGCCTAACATTTCTGAAGAAAACTCAAATGATGGTCCGTGAGACTGCCAAACTTGAGAGAGGTACAAAATCATCAGTGGGAACATGCTTCATAGGTCCTAAAAATAAAAGCTCCTCATCTTAAACTGTTATTATCTTTTTAAGAGAATATTTAACATGAAGGAAAGCCATACTACTGATGTTTATTCTAAAAGTAGGCTAAATAATTTAGTATTTTTCCTCTAATGGTTCCAGAAATTATATCTTTCCTAAAAAAATGTTTAAAGATAAAACTTTAAAGGGTTAGATGGTCACGTAGTGTAGAATGATAAAGTACTTTTTATTCAGTGCATAATAGTTTTTTCAATTTAATTCATAATTACAGTACAAAAAAATTCCCTTGCTTGCTGAGTCTTTTTATGTTACATTTTACTTAGTCTTAAGAAAAAAATGTTAAAATTTAAAACCTCTGAAGTTATTATAGAAGATTATATTCCCTATGAACATGAAGCATATTCATGCACATGTACATCCATATATGTGTATGTATATATATCTGCTCCTTTGTATGAACCACTCAAAACAACTTTAAAGCCATTCATTTTTGTATTTAAAACTGTCCTGTTAAATATTTAGAAGCTCCACAGGTGGTGGCTTTAATGGAATTTTCCCCAGAGTAAATTTCTTGGATTGAAATTGTTCCAGTTCTTCCACTGTTAGTTTATCCTTGGGTGTGAATAATACATTATCTGTTGCAATGATGCTATTTGATACCAAGAGAGAGGTGGACATGCTGCTATTACCAAAGGCGTCGTTAGATGGCTTGGAAAAAGCAGGATAAGAATGTGAGCCTGGACTACCAAAACCAGCCACAGAACTGACACTTCCGAAGGCCGGGGCCACTGGAGCTCTGACAGGGCCTGCTGCTAAGGAAGCTGGAAATCCTGAAAATTCAGGTGATCCAAAACTAGAAGCTTCAGGGTTTTTAAATGGAAATGAAGCGGCCGATGTGACTTCAGGTTTCCCAAATCCAAAAACTGGAGTAGAAGTAGACATGGCAGAACTGGCAGAAGTTACAGCTCCAAATGCTGGGGGACTTCCGAACACAGAAGGGCTTCCAGAAGGGGCAGCGACAAACCCAGAGTTTGTATTAAAACTAAAATTCTGAGCATTACCACTGCTGCTGCTATTAACTGGAAAACCTACAGAAAAACAAAACAAAAATTATCTATTATAGTCAGAAAATACAGCCATATTTGCCCCCCTCCACCATGTTTAGATGTTTAGAAGCTTTTTATAAGGAAGAGAAGTATATATGGTGGGCAAAAACAAAGCCACTACTATTGTCCTGTTCTTCCTGCTACCAATCCCATTTATACTGTGATTACTCCCCCCACTCCCAACAAATCAAGGACTAGGGAGCGGCTTTCACTCTTGATTCGCCACCCATCTCACCAGAGCAGACACATAAGGACAATGCTGTGCTGTTTTATACAGTGACAAGAAAGTTCTCAAAGGTGATGCTATCAAAGCTATGTATTCCTAGGAAACTCTTGAAAAACCATTCCTAAAATGTACTTCTAAAGTGTGAGCTATAGGGTCTTTCAAAGAACATGCCAGTTCTAGCTTCCCTTTCACAAATGCTTGATGAGCTAAATTCTTTGAGGCTTCATAATGGAAGGTGGTAGAATTTACAAAGATGATTTAAAATGGCAATTCATGCTTTATAATTTGAAACCTATAAAATCCTATGTTTATCACTTACCTGGTGATCCAAATGTTGTTGCTTGCCTACTACCAAATCCAAATGTAGGTGCTGATTGGTTTATTCCATCCTTTATATCAGAGAGCTTTAAAAAAGTATTCAAACAGTAAAGTACTTGACAAATAATTTGCAAGTATCTTTTTTACACACTTTACAGCCAAATTCAATTTTTAAAACATGCATGTAAAAATGTGAAGTTAAATTTTTAACATGGCAAATGCCCATATGATGATGAAAAGGGAAGGATATAATACTATATAAGCAGTATAACCTCAACTAATAATATGAATATACATAGAAAAAAGTGGACATTAATAAGTTAATAGTAATTGCCTCTGGCTGATAAATTATGGGTGATTTAAATTTTATATATGCTTTTTTATATTTGTAAATATCTACAATGAGCACATATTATAGTCAGAAAATTTTTTTCTTTTTTTTTTTTTTTGAGACAGAGCCTCAAGCTATCCCCCCGGGTAGAGTGCCATGGCCTCACAGCTCACAGCAACCTCCAACTCCTGGGCTCAAGCGAGTCTCCTGCCTCTGCCTCCCAAGTAGCTGGGACCACAGGTGCCCGCCAGAGCGCCGGCCATTTTTTGGTTGCAGCCATCATTGTTGTTTGGCGGGCCCGGGCTGGGGGTTCGAACCCGCCACCTTAGGTGTATGTGGCTGGCGCCTTAGCCGATTGAGCCACAGGCGCCGAGCCAGAAAAAAAATTTTTTAATAATATTGTTTTTTAGTGCCTATATTATAAAGTTAGATCTACATTTATTAAGAAAGCTACATATTAGGTAGAAGGGACCTTTATGGGATAGCAGATTTATAACTGCATTATTAAAAGCTAACTGCTAAAATCCATTAGACATTTCCTATTTCTTGAAAGTACTTTATGGTCTTGTTAAAGCATATCTCAGAATATATCATATGTATTTTAAAATATGTAAGAATAGTATTCCTTACTCTAGAAATGTCTTTCATCTCTGCTTACTAAAATCTTACTCTCCTTTTCAAGGAACATTTTCACTTACTCCTTTCCTCTAAGCTGCCTTCCCTAACTAATCAACCCAAGCAGATATAATGATTTCTTTCATTTGGAAGCCCCAATAGCATTTTTTAAAGAATCACCTTTTTTGAGGTATAGTTTACATACAACAATATGTATTCATTTTATATATTTATTTTATTGCATTTTGACAAACTTATAACCACAATTGAGATGCAGAACATTTCTACCACCCACAAAAATGTTCTTGTGAACTTCCCCTCCCCATTTTATGAGATAAAGTCTCACTCTCTTCCCCCAGGCTAGAGTATTGTGGCATCATAGATCACAGCAACCTCAAACTCTTGGGCTGAAGCCATCTTCTTGCCTTAGCCTCCAAAGTAGTGGGACTACAGGTGTCCAACATAGTCAACCTCTCTTAACTCCTGATCCCTGACACCCAGTCATCTGTTTTTTATCACTATAGATTTGCCTTTTCTGGATTTTCATATAAAGTGGAATCATACAGTATACATTCTTTATTTTTTTTGGTCTGTCTTCTCGTTTTAGTATAGTATTCATTAACAGGTAAGTGGATAAACAAACTACAATAAAACCTCCATAACTGAACACCTCCCTACACTGACCACCTCCTTAAATTGACCTAATTTTCATCGACTAAATATGTACCACATGTACTCAGTGGTAGTTCTTTATGTTGACCACCTCTGCATGTTGACCAGTTTGTTACAGTCCCTTGGATGGTAAACTTTCAGAGGTTCTCCTGTATATCATATGCATACAATGGATTACTATTCAGCATAAAGAAGGCATGAACTACCTGCTAAGCCAGCTGTAGATGGGCTGTCCAGATCCTCACCTATGGAGGAGCTCTAGGAAGTTAGCAAACAGCAGGAAACTTCCAGCCCTAAGGGAAGTTCTACAGTTCTCTGGACTCAGTCATCTCTTCTCCATCAACTCTCATCAATGGCCACCTTTCTTATAGGGACCAAACACTTAAATAGCATTACAACTGACAAGTGAAAGAAGTTAACTTGCACAAGAGTCTAATTAGTTAGGAAGCACATATTTAAGAAAGGGATGGGGTATTGAGATTGTCCGTCATTCACCAAATTTAGGCAGATACAATTCTCAAATTCTTTTTTAGAGAGTAGAAACAAACTGCCTGAGAAATTGAAAATATTAAAATTCTAAACGCAATTATCTTATTTTATAATAAGGTTCTCAGGAATTTTTTAATAGAGGTAGAAAAATCATAACTTTATTGACAGAGATAATAAATATGCTATAGTCAGGACCACATATCTTTGGAGACAAATGGGTATCTATCTTCTAAAGGCATTTTTGTATAAGACCAGAGACATATGGTAAGTATTCTTTAGTCACAAAAGTATATATTAGTCTGAATGTACATTCACATCATTAAAACGAAAAGTAATTTCTTTTAAACATAGATAACCTTAAATACTTTATGTAGCATTTTCCAATTTTTAAAACTAGTATTACCAAAGTTAAAAACTTTATCATAAATGTAGTTTTTAAAAAGTCTAATTATCTCTGCTTTTCTGACTAAGGGACAGACAGAAAATAATTTCAGAATCTGGACTGTAAATGGTGATCTCTTAGAAAGGAGTATATCGTAATTCTTGAAAGAGAACTTTTGCTTTGCTTTCCAAATCCAAAGTGAAATATCCTCTGTAAAAAAGTAATAGATAAGAAAATTCTTTGAAACTCACCAAAGCTACTTTAGTTGATATATTTAGATTTTTCAGTTCGTTTACTCTGTTCCTCCATTGATTTATTAACTGTTGGACTGAATTTAGCTGAGAAGAGAGAAAGATAATGACTCAATATTGTATGTTTCATTTCTTCAATAACAAGTTCATGCATTTATTTGCCAAAGTCACCAAAAGTTTATATAACAGTTTTATGGCCCATAATTTTGCATTGACCTGCCTCTATTTGCCAGACATTCCACCTCTTGTTCCTTACCCCTGTTCTTCAACTCCTTGCATCACCTGGTTAATAATCACATGTATCTGACAGCAGATTTAGTTATATGTGGATGGAAGATGAACATGTATACTAACTGAAATGCATGATCATGACTGTAGACAACAGAAAAATATAGAGTTTACAATGTTTCCTTCAGGTACTTAACTTATTCTAGTCCAGATTTTTAATTTTTTTTTTGATATTTGATATGTGACAATGTTAACCTGTATAAGAGACTGCATCCTATTTAACTTCTGTTTTTCTAAAGTTCATTCATCATGGAATCTGCACCTGAGAGATAGTCAATGAATGCCAAATGATGATAGAGTTTGATTTCTAGGAGCAACTGCTGGGTAACTTGTAATAAAAATAATGACATTCCTAATTACTAGTCAAAATATATTATCAGTTTAGATAATCATCCAATTTCAAAGAAAGTAATTAGAAAATAAAAGTAGCCCTGTTCTGAAAAAAATTATAGAACTCATCAACTTTGCCACGATACAAGCAAGCCACAACAAACAAAGAAAATAGTATTTGACAGCTGATAATCTGTTATTGAGGTAGATGAATAGGAAACAAACTTACATAACTCTGTAAGTTATTGCTGGTTAAGAAGTTATGGTATTCAAGCCTCAACTCCTCTGGTGAAATGTCTGTAAAACCTGAAGTGAGGAATCAATTGGAATCTTTAAAATAAATGCCAATAATTATGACAGTCAAGTTAGAGGCACTAAACAAGAAAATACCTGATGTTGATTAGAAAATTTTCATAATCATAAGGAAAAATTAAAGGCCTACATTTTATTTAATGTTTGATGAAGTATAAATTTAGAATAAAATATAGTTGGTTATTTGATCTTCAGGGAAGAATTTTCTAAAGTTAAGTGGAGTAGGAATAATAAAGAAATGAAAAGATTTGACTACATTTATATTTAAGCTTCTGTCTAAAAAAATATTCTGTCAAAAACTACAATAAAATTAAAAGGCAAATGGTCAACTAGAAAAACCATAATTGTAATACATAAAATAAGAAAAGAACACACACTTTTAATGTTTAAATAGCTCTTACAAATTGATAAGAAAAATTAGTAAATATGGGCAGAGATAATGAATAGGCAATACACAAAAAAATTCCAATACCCAGTAAATAAATGGAATTTAAAAATCCAACTTAAAATAGAGATAAAATACTTTCCTTAATAGATGGCAGAAATTTAAAAATTGATGATATTTAATGTTATTCATAAAGTAGTGAAATGGATCTTCTCCTAAAGTGCTGTTAAGGAATTAAAATGATACAAATTTTCTAGGAGGAAAACTATCAATATGCATCACAAGACTGAAAAATGTTCACACACTCTGGATTCTAATACAGTGCCTAAGATTTAACCTCAGGAAATATATATGAACACATAGGTGTTTATATATATAGACGTTCTTTCCAGTATTTTTAGTAATAAAAGACAAATTGAAAACAAAAAAGTATAATATGAAACTAGATTATGATCGTAATTATATATATATAAACAAGTAATAGTTTGTGTATATATTTTGAAAGAAGTCATCTAATATGTTATAGTTATTTCTGTGACATCTGGTGATTTTAATTTTATGTATATATTTTTGTACTTTCCACGTTTTCTATGGCAATTGTCATAACTTTTATAATTGGGAGAACTTATTGCGAAAGGGAAAAAAAATGTTCAGGATATATTCCACTAAGAATTCCTTATAACCCAGATAGTATTAACTCCAAGGACATCAACCTCAATATAAAGAAAAGATTGAATGTTCAAAACAAAACCCTGGATTCCTTTTAATGACCTGTCATCTTCATCTTTATTAAATGCTGAAGCCAAAAAAAATAGGGATTATTTGGGAATTTCTCTTTTCCTTTATCAGCATCCTGCCAGTTTTAGCTCCAATTACCTCCAATACAGAAGCCAAATTTGACCAATTCTGTCTCCACTACTAATAACTCTAAAATGTCATCAGCAGCCATGTCTCTTGTTTTCCTACCTATACTTCTGCCTGAGTAAGCTTTTTCTCATTTTCCTTTTTTTCCTTCCTTTTTTTTCTTTTTTTTGAGCCAGAGTCTTGCTCTTGCTCTGTTGCAGGATGCTGCAACCTCAAATAATCTTCCTGCCTCAGCCTCCCAAATAGTAGGGACTACATGTATGCACCACAACACCACAAAAATTTTTCTATTTTTTGTAGAGATAGGGTCTCATTCTTGCTTAGGCTGAACTTGAACTCCTGGCCTCAAGTGATCCTCCTGCCTGGGCCTCCCAAAGTGTGGGCATATGAGCCACTATGGTTGGCCTAAGTAAGCTTTTTCTTATTCTATCATACTCCTCTCCAGCTTAATGCTCTTCATGGCTGCCCACTGCCCAGGGCAGTTAGGCTCAACATGATCTTGCCTCTGGATCTCTCTGGCTTTATGCCATATTTCTCTTTCCCTAGTTTATTCTCCTCCAGTGATTTAGGCCTCACTAGTCTTCAAACACTGCCAACCTTGTTCCCACTTCAGAGACTGTACTAGCTATTCCTATTGCCAGGAATGTTTCCCATAACTTATATTTTCCCTTCATTGAGGACACAGCTCCTATACTGCCTCACAGGAAATCGATAACCTCTTTATCTAAAGAAACACTGTCTCTTAATTACTTTCTATTCCTTTCAGCCATGCTCAACTAGGGTTCCTCATCTGAACCACAGAACATAGAAGATAACTGGATCGACTATTTTCTCAATTCTTTTAAGAGTAGTACAAAAGTAGTATCATTCTAGCTGCAGAGGAAAAGTTAAATTCATTATATATAGTGGATACCTACA